CTTGTTTTGTTTTGACTTGTGTTACATTGTTTTAGGAAAAGGACCTTATGTCATTTCTCTAACATGTATGACACATAAATTGTTATTGACCGGCCTCAGATAATTATGACTTCTACATAAGTCGAATTACGATTGCTTAACATAGTGTTAAATTTGTCCCGAATCAGTTTAATTCTCATTAACACTAACATTAACTCCTCATAATTATACTAACTACTAACTTTAGTTTAATTTCAAGCATTTATTTTATTTCTCTTTACTTTTATGCAATTTATTTTATGTCATTTATATTCAAGCATCTTTATGTTTGTTTTTATTTTATGCTTTTTCTTTTTCTTTTGCTTTTCTTTATCTTCAAAAGACCAAAAACATTACTAAATAATCAAAATCCTAAAACTTAATGTGGTACTCACTTGGACTTTGTGTTACTATCCTATTCTTGGAGACTTTGGACTATTGGACTTGGATCTAAGGTATCTTTCCATTTGCTTAGAGTAGTACCTGAGACTTTGAAGTTCATCTGAGACTTTGAAGTTCATTTGAGACTATGAGGCTTACCTGAGACTTTATGATCCTCAATTCAAGATTTGGATGCTTTCTCTTTGGCTCTATGACCTTTTTACTAAGTTGGTTTTCTTTAATATTCATATGTGCCTATTGCTTGCTCATTTTATGGATCAATCTAAAGGGAAGGAATGTTGGTTTTGACCTATGTCAAATGTTTGCCTCTTCTTGTGGTTAGTTCACTTACACACACAAAGGCTTCCTCTTGCGCTACCTGACAATGAGACCGTTTACTTTATGATTTAGGATAGTCTCTTCATCTCCTCCCCTTCTTAAAATTTCAAATTTTCTCCCTATTTAAAAAAATTCTTGTTTTAAACTTCACACTTCTTTCTTAATAAACCTTGACTTTGTCAAGTGATCCAGAAAATATTTTCTCAATAATACTAAAATACTTAAGCATATTCAAACTCTTCTCCAAACCTCTAAAAAACACAACCCTCATCAAACTTCTTTTTGTATCTTTGTGCGCTTTTCTTTAAGAGCCTTTTTTCAAAAATATTAAATATAAATCTATTCTTGCAGTGATGCAAACCACTATACTTCTACAAGATGTTGAGAAATAGTTGACATTTTCCACTTGAATCTTGAGATGTACTTGTGAGAAAGTCCAAGTAAAGTTCTTCATATCAAGATTGATGTAAATGTTCATTTCCTCATACTTGTGAGTAGTAAGTTGAGTTTTCCACTCGAGTATGACAAAATGTATTTTCATGTAAAATCAATCAACAAACAACATAGCCTTTTTAAACACAGATAAGAAAATGGTTCCTGTGGATTACCGCAGATGTGAGGGGTGCTAACACATTCCCTTGCATAACCAACCCATGTATCCAGATCTCTCTTTTTTTATGCTTTTTTTTTAGCTTTTTTGTGGGTTTTGTTCGACCTTTTCCCTTTTTCCTTGGAAATAATAAAGTTAGGTAGCGACTCTTTCTTTCTGAGTTAAGTTAATCAACAGGTTAATCTCAAATTGTTTTCCCGTCGCGACATACTCCACCTGAATTTGAGTCTGGTTCTTCCTGTTATTTAGCTACAATCTATCTTGGACTCACTAGTGGATCCTTAATGTCCACCTGAATCTTGTCCTGACTAAAACTTTCTACATCAGTATCTGGCACAAGTGTCACTTATGAGTGTTTCAACATCGATTGCTCGTCAATTATAACATATATGCTGACATCCACCTTCCTCTTGACCGAATCCCATAACTTGTACCCCTTTCACACCTTTATTGTAGCCAATAATAATGCACTATTTTGACTTAGGGTCAAGTTTAAACCGATCCTCACTAGAAATATGCACATATGATGGACACCCAAAAATTCTCAATTACATAGATCAATGAGGTTTCCTGTCAACACCTCATCTGCCAGTTTTCCAGCCAATGAAGCATGTGGTGATCTTTTGACTATGTAACATGCCATATTGAGTGTTGTTATCCAGAAACCTTTTGAAAGACCAGCATTCAACCGAATGCACCTTGCCTTCTCCATCAAAGTCATGTTCATCCTCTTTGCAACACCATTCTGTTGTTGTATCTTCCTCACAGAAAAGTGCCTCTGGATTCCATTCTCCTCACATAAATGCATGAACTTCTTGTATGTTTATTTAGTTCCATTATCAAACCGTAAATACTTTATTATTCTCCCTGCCTGGTTCTCAACCTCCGCCTTTCATGGTTAGAACTTGGAAAAGATATCAGATTTATATTTCATGAAATAAATCCAGACCTTACAAGAAAAATCATCAGTGAATGTCACAAAGTACTTGGAACCTCCAACTGAAGGCTCTTTTGCATGCCCCAAACATCATAATGGACATAGTCTAAGATTATATTGGTCTTGTGTTGTCTGGTCTTGAAACAAACTCTACATTGTTTCCCAAGAACATGATACTTGCACAATTCAATTGTGCAACTGCGAACACCCTTCAGCAAATTCTTCTTATGTAGTTCAATTATCCACGTTCATTGAGATGACTCAAGCGCATGTGCCATAGTTTGATTGCATCATTATCAGTTTCAATAGATGATACATCACCCATTATTAAGCCCCCTAACAACTTATAAATGTTGTCTATAGCCCTCTTTGTAGTCATCATTGTCATTGCACCCTTGCTAACCCTCAAGATGTCTCTATATCCATTTAACCGGAACGAAAAACCATTTGCTTGAAGAGTACCCCGAGAAATCAAATTTTTCCTCTACTCTAGAATATAACGCACCTCACTCAACGTTCGCACGCTACCATCATACAAAGAAATTTTAATTTTCCCCTTTTAATGATGGTATAAGTTTTATCATCACCTAAATAGACAAAACCAAAACCACCTGAGTTAAAAGACTTGAATCATTCCTGGTGTGGCATCATATGGTAGAAGCACCCAGAATCAAGAACCCGCGCATCAGTGCACTTTGTAGATGAAACACAAAGTAAATCCTCTTCATTACACGAGCCATCAGATTGGACTATATTTGCTGAACTATTATTTCCTAATTTGTTTGGACAGTTCCTCTTCCAATGGCCAATTTGCTTGCAACCATAACATTTTGTTGTTTTTCTGTCTTTAGACTTGAACCTCTTTTCTTTCTAGAACTCACTGCCTTGCCCTTTCCTCTGCCACAGTCTTGACCTTCCTTCACAAACAAACCTTCGTCTGAGCTTCCTCCACCTTCCTCTACACTTTGGCGATGTTGTGCGTGTTGCAAAAGAGTATAAGAAATAGAATTCAGCAGGGTTGTTTCCTTCCCGTATGTGAGAGGGTCACCAAGTGATCATAAGAGCTTGGTAAAAAGCACAGTAAAATAATGACATTATCCTCATCGTCAACCTTCACACCAAGTCGTGTCAAATCAGCGAGAATGTTGTTGAAAGCGTTGACATGAGCCTACAAATTGCCTCCTTCCTACATCTTCAGGCTATAGAGGCGCTGCTTCGTGAAAATTTTGTTAATGAGCGTCTTAGATGTGTACTGATTTTCTAATTTCTCCCTGACATCCTTCGGAGTTGTGAGGTCCAGGATATGATTCATCACGTCATCAGAACAAAGTCTTATCAAACCTGCGAATTTCTCCTTCACCTGATTCAAATCAATAGTTGTGATGTTTGTCGTTTTCTCGTCACGAAGCGCCTTCTGTAAACCTTATTGAGCCCAACAAAAAATCATTAACTCTCATTTGCGATAAACCGAAATTGTTCGTTCCATCGAGCCGAGTCACTTTGAATTTGCACCTCCGGATTAAGTCTCATCTGACTTCAATTGTTATAACAGAAACACAAATACAAATCAGAGTAAAGAGAAACACATAAAAGCTTTGTTCACGCAGTTCGATCAAATTGTCTTGTCTACATATGCAACTATAGAGTAGTTATAGTTTCTTTTATTTATGTCTTGTGAATTGAATATAGATTGTCGTGTTACAAACCATATACATAATACAAGATTTTAGTTTATCTAAAACCCTAATCCTAGTTTTCCTTAACAAACAATTATTCTACCAACAATTATCTCAACAAACAATATAAGTTATTCTTTCAACAACTTATAGTTATCTCAACAGCCTACAATTATCTCAACAGCCCATAATTATCTCAACAATATAAATTATACTCTCAACAATTCATAGTTATTTCAAACACATAATTTTCTTAATAATATAAATCATATTCAACAATTCAGTGCTATGGCTATTACTATCCATTTAACTATTTCTTAAGTGTAAACAATTATTCTTGTTTTTACTAAGCATAGCACCGAAGAAACTCGAAACTACCTAGAGCCACATCAAAAATCTAATTTAGACAATAAGACAGAGATTGATGGGGTCCAATCCCTTTAAATTATGAAATTATCTCTAATTTCCCAATTAATTTCCTATTTCAATTATTCTTTTCAATTATCATATAACTCCAATTTTTTTCCACGTGAAAACACTAACAATTTAATCAAAATCAAAATAAGATGACAATAATCAGCTATTATAATTATTGGCTTAAAAATTGCAATATTATTATTGGCCACTGACCAAAATAAGAAGACACTGATGTTTTAACTCTTAGTGTAAAATGACAATAACCAATGCTTATTTTTTCTTTAATAAGATGAGATGAGATGAGATGAGTCCTATCCAAGTCTTGTGTGGTGGTAATAAACTCTCCTTAATACATGTGGATCTGGAAAAACCTTCAACTCCAACCTCAAAGTCTATGCTTAAGAGTGACTATGAAATCCATGCACTCTTTGGTTGCCACGTGGCAGCTTGGTAATCTTCATTGTGTGGATGTTATGGTTTCTGTGACCAATCCCATTGTTACACCCTATCAATTAATCAGCTATTATAAGTCCCTCATTTTGATCACAAACTTGCATAGAATAATTTGCTTCAACTTCAACTACCTTCCTCTTTTGTGCTACACCAATCAAAGAACATATCCATGGCTGCTTCAGTCTCCACTATTGGAGCTGTCAAAACTCCTGTATGATATGCTTTTACATCTTTCTTATATCCCTTATATTCCTTATTCTGATATGCATGTTTATATATATAGCTCAGTAATCACTTGTTCAAAATCAAGTGACTTAAATTATGCTATGATTCTTTTTCTTTTATTACTATTTCAATATTATACATTACTGCAATTGTATAGTAATGCCTAATTATGTTTATTTAGTAGTATAAATACTTTTGAGACTGTTTGTGATATCTTATAGATGTTTATGACATATCTGTTGTAACTGTTTCTTCAACTTATTTTTATAAATTTTACAAGATAGGTTATGAAAACTACTTATAATTTATATTAAAATATTAGATTTTTTTTACTTTATTATGTAAATAGTTTATACATAAGCACTTGTATGATAATCACTTATGGTATTTAAGTTTAAATAAATTATTTATTCAATTAGATTTGAATATAGTATCTAATGTTATTTTTAAGTCTTATACGACTGACTGACGAAGTTTAAAATTTGTCAAGGTTAAACCTTTAGTTAAATATAATCTAATAAAATATTTGTTACAATTAAATCTTAGTTAAATAAGATATAATTGTTTTGTCATAATTGAACTGAGGCTAATTTACAAATGTCTTTCAAAAATTTAAGACAGTTCTAATAGTATCAAAATTTTGATCCAGTGGATCATGACAAAATTTGCATCTTAAATTTTTTATATCAGTTATGTCATGATCTACTAGATTTTTTCACTTAAATTGAAGCAGATTTTTTCACATGAATTTTTTATTATTAAAAAAATAGATATAATTAGTGACCAAATCTATTAACTTAATTTAATATTTCAGTTTAATTCTTTAACTAAAAAAATATTATAAGTTACTCCCTTAACTTCATCTCCTTTATCCTATTTGATCTCTTCCATCAAGAAAAGAAACTGAACTCTTACTATGATGTTGCAGAAGAGCTTGAATGGCTCAGTAGTAGCAGGGCCTTCAATTCCCAGTTCATCTTTCTTCGGCACAAGCTTGAAGAAGATTACTTCAAGGCTTCCGAACACTAAACTTTCCTCTGGAAGTTTCAAAATTGTTGCTACCGCAGAGATCGAACCTGAAAAGCAGACAGACGGAGACAGATGGAGGGGTTTGGCCTATGATATTTCAGATGACCAACAGGACATCACAAGAGGAAAGGGTTTGGTTGATTCTGTTTTCCAAGCTCCACAAAATGCTGGAACTCATTATGCTATCATGAGTTCTTATGAATACATTAGCACTGGACTTAAACAGTGAGTGACTTGTTACACAATTTTGTGAACTCAAAACCCAATAAAATAGTCTTTTGGTCTAAAATTTGTGATGATGAATGTGTTTTAGGTACAACTTTGACAACACTATGAGTGGTTTTTACATTGCTCCTGCTTTTATGGACAAGCTTGTTGTTCATATCACTAAGAATTTCATGACCTTGCCAAACATCAAGGTATGTAAATTAGACACATGATTTCTCTATAAGCTATACTATGAGTTTAGCAGAATTGTGATACATATTCAATGTTTTTGTTTTTGTTTTTATAGGTTCCTCTCATTCTTGGTGTCTGGGGAGGGAAAGGACAGGGAAAATCTTTCCAAGCTGAGCTTGTTTTTGCCAAGATGGGAATCAAGTGAGTTCTTAGTTTCTTACTACACTAGCCAATTTCATGCACAACTTATGAACATGCTTTCTTGTTACGTGATATATACACTACCTAACTCATGTCTGTTTGATGTTGAAATTGTGCTACAGCCCCATTATGATGAGTGCCGGAGAGCTTGAAAGTGGAAATGCAGGAGAGCCAGCAAAACTGATCAGACAGCGATACCGTGAAGCTGCTGACATAATCAAGAAGGGAAAGATGTGTGCTTTGTTCATCAACGATCTTGATGCAGGAGCAGGTCGTATGGGTGGAACCACCCAATACACTGTCAACAACCAGATGGTGAATGCCACACTCATGAACATTGCTGATAACCCCACAAATGTCCAACTCCCTGGTATGTACAACAAGGAAGAGAATGCTCGTGTTCCCATCATTGTCACAGGTAACGATTTCTCAACATTGTATGCTCCTCTCATCCGTGATGGACGTATGGAGAAATTCTACTGGGCTCCTACAAGAGAGGACCGTATTGGTGTCTGCACCGGAATATTCCGTCATGACAAAATTGCAACTGAAGACATTGTCAAGCTTGTTGACACCTTCCCTGGCCAATCCATTGGTAATCTAACATATCTATCTATCTGTTTGTCTGTCTATTTATCTGCGTAAACACAATCTCATTCACGTGCTGCTAGTGCAGATTTCTTTGGTGCTTTGAGGGCTAGAGTGTACGACGACGAAGTGAGGAAGTGGATTTCTGGTATAGGTGTTGAAGGAATTGGAAAGAGGCTTGTGAACTCAAAGGAAGGACCACCGGAATTTGACCAGCCAAAGATGACACTAGAAAAGCTGTTGGAATATGGTAACATGCTTGTCCAAGAACAAGAGAATGTGAAGAGAGTCCAATTGGCAGACAAGTATTTGAGTGAGGCTGCTCTTGGTGATGCTAATCAAGATGCTATCACAAGAGGAGCTTTCTAAAATGCAGACTCTTAAACAAGAGGCCTTTGTTGGAGGTTTGTGTTTTCCTTGATGTAACTCCATTTTGATCAACATTAGAAAAACTTAGTCTAGAAATCTTTTCTTGTTTTCTTTGCAGGTATGCTATGTTCCTGTACTTGATTCAAATGTCTCAAACTTTGATCCAGCTACTTGAAGTTGTGGTGGCACGTGCTTGTAACATTCTCAATGTATCATTTAGGTGGAAGGAAAAGATTCCAAGTTTGAAATGATTTTATAATATTTTTCTTTTTGGACTGTTTTCCTATGTAATTTTGTTATATGTACAATGTTTTAAATTTGTATTTGGTGCCTTTCTCTTTCTGCCTATTACACTCTTGATTTCTTTATTTTCTAGATTCTATTATTTAGATGCCTTATCCTAATTATATAATGAATTTGTGAGAAAAAAATTCAACATGTCACATCCTAAACAATACAAACTACAGCCTTAATGACCTTAATTTATGTGACAAAATAAAGAATTCCTTAAAAAAATCAATGGTATCACTATTCCTATTAGAGATGACTATAACTAAAGTAGTTACACTCTGTCTTACTTGTATATATAACCAATCTCTTTCAATAAATGGAATTAACAAACTCAATCAATGCAAGAAGATCTTGTATTAGTTCTCTCTTTTATGTAGTTTAGTTCATTAATATGGTATAATATGTCTAGAAGGGACTTGTTCCGCTTCTTCATCCTCTTCGAGTTCTTGATCGAAGATCAAGACTTCGTAAAAGTTTCATTTCTCTTTTAAACTTCTTTGCTAATCAAGTTTTATATCAAACTTTATAGGAGCTTCAATGGCAGATCTGAAAAGTTCTCCTTAAGATTTACAACACGTGACACATTTTTCTCAAACTACCTCTTCGCAACTTGCACAAAAAAGCTCAGTAAACACGAAGTACCAAAATAAGAATCAGTAGGTTGAAGATGTTATTATTTCTTACAAACTCCACAAAGTGGTGATAAATACGCATATCCCTCCAATGCTCAAAACTAGTGATAATATGGTTAACGCTATATTTGAAGAATATGAAACTTGGATAGTTCAAGATCATGCTTGGTTCACTTGTCTTTTGTCTACTTTCTGAAGTAGTGCTACCTCAGAATCTCTCATGTAAACATGCGTATGAAATTTGGGACAAGATGCACAACCATTAAAGTTCTCAAATGAAAGCACGAGTTCATCAATTAAGATGAGAACTAAAAACCAACCTGAAAGAAAGTCGTTCAATTTTGAGTATGTCTTCGAGTTCGAGCCATAGATGATTCCTTGCTAGCTATCAGTGATCCTATATCTGAAAGAGATCAAATAGATGTAATATTTCAAGGTTTGTCTTAGGATTACAGTCCTTTCATTATGATGATCTATGGCAAGGTGGAACCAACTAACATATATGATGTTGCGACTCTTTTGTACGTTCAACAAACACAATTAGACAAATTTTGCCAAAACTTTCAACTTTTAGTGCAATGACCAATGTTGCCCAGACCATAAGCAGCACAAATCTTGGAAAGAATGGTGGTTCGTCTGGCTCTTGTCATTACTTTCTTGGTATAACACGCACATTTCGTGGTAGAGTGCGTCAAAGACAGATTTATTGCATAGGAAATCGACCAACTTGCCAACTTTACAATAAATATGCATAAATATTGGCATGGATATGATGAGTATTTTGAACCTCCGCCACTAAAGGCTCAAGCATGTAGTAATGCCTCAAATAACTTAACTAGATCTCAAGATAGTCAAAAGCCTCAAGCCTCCACCTTTGCACAAGCAACTGCTCTTTTAGCTCATCAAGTCAATCTTCAAGTTTTCAAGGGCTTGAATTTCAAACCTGGTTTGCAGACACAGGCATTTCTCATCACATTACATTTAGTACTTCGAATTTACAAAATTAACAATCATTTGATGGTCCAAATAAAATTCTAGTTGATAATAGTCATAGCTTAGAAATAATTTAGTTAGTTAATCTAATTTTGGATCCAAAGTTGTATCAAGCTAGTTAAATAACTTGCTTCATGTTCTTATTATTACTTCAAATCTAATTTATGTGTTTAAATTTGTCAAAGACGACAATGTTTATTTTGAATTCCATTGTAAATATGTTGTGTCAAATCACATATATCTAGCTTGGTCTTTTTACAAGGGTTTCTTGATGATAGTGGATTGTACTACTTCAACAATCTAGTTTTAAGATTCTTAAGCAATCTCATAAGCAATAAGCCACAAAACTTATGGCCTGTTGTAAATAATAATATTGCAATTCATCATTTTGATAATGCGGGTTTAGTTACCAATAATGCTTTCATTTGACACTCTAGGTTAGGTCATG